TAGATTGTAACATTTAGTTTAATATCTGTTTCTCAACATTAACCAGAATTAACCTGTGTAGTAGTTTAAGTTATTAAAAAGTGCCTTACTAGCATGCTATAGTGAGTTAACCTTCTAGCTCAGTTGATAAAACACTCGCATGGCACACAACATCTCTCAGGTTCAAATCTGATGTGAGGAAAAACATATTGTAAAAATAAATTACCACTCCTACTTGTGCAGCTCAGTGTACATTTGTTACTATACGTCTGACTCTCTTTATCCCAGTAGTGTTTTGTAACATTAGCATACTTTCAAAACTATGTGTGTGTGTTTATGTATATATATACATAGAGAGAGAGAGGTACTTTGTAAGTTACATTATAATTGTTGTTCAGAATCATAGATACCAAGCCATAAATGTGCAAACTTGTATGCATCAAGTCATATATACATAAACTGAGTTAGTTTCAAATTCATTAGTACAAACTTACATGCAAAACTGTGTACTATAAATTGTTTTTCAAAATCATATACACTAATTCACTTGCGATATTTTATGTTCTAAATTAACTGTATTTCTAAACTTGGAAGTTTCTTTATGAAATGAAAAACATTTATCTCAACATTAACCAGAAAGTTTTAAGGCTATAAAGAGATAGTTGTAAAAACTAATACTTAAAAAAAAAATATACTAATTAATATGCTTCTTTATGCATAAAAAGTGTACATTTTTACACTGATTCAACCTTTAAAAAACTCCTTAGGAATACCTTTACTCAGAGTGATTGGTATCTCAGAATAGCTATGATGCATGTGAGGTGATTTCATCTGTAAATATGACACCAAGAAATTGGTCATGACCTATATTTGTTACTCCAAGTATGAGATCATGCTGTGAGGTTTCCCTCCAAGGTTAACACATACATGTGGCTGATATGTAGTGTTCATTCAATTTGAAATCATTTTAAAGACAAAGGTTTCTTCCTATACTTCAAAAAATGTTATCCATAACTCAGAAAAGGAAGAATTATCGAGTTGATCTAATATATGTTTTTTTAAATGTTTCATGGTTTTTCTCTTACTCTTCAAAAAATATGATCCAAATCTTGGAAATAAGGGCAAAATTCTTAACGTTATGTTTGAATGTATAATGTAATTTTTTAATGTATTTCACATGGTGTTCGTGTATCTGAAAACTTGTAAACTAATGTAAAAGATCTTATTCAAATTATATATATAATAATGTATACAGTGTTTCCCACGAATGAGCCAGGTTATGGTGACATATCGTATTATCTAATAGATTTTGTTAAGTACAATTTGACATTACTGTGTTTGTATATATATATATATATATATTTAGAATAGAATTGTACTACACTATAATATTTTGTATTGTGAAGAATGTAAAAATTAGTCTTAGGGTCGGTTTAACATTTATATTAAGTTTATAAGAAGTCGAGACATATAAGAACATCAAATATTTTCTAGTTATTTATGTAGTAACTAAACTTTCAGTAATAGTATTCACAACAAGATAATGACATTTATGTGGCTTAAATTAGTAATATCAAATCAAAGTTGAATGAGCCTAATAATTTGATGTTATTTTAGGTTTCCATCTGCACATACCTTAGGACTTGGTCAGGTAATTAATTTTCATTGTTTTTTTTACTGGTTCTGTAAGTAAACACATTTACATTTTCTCAGTGACTTTTACCATATTACAATCAGCAAGACTAGCATATAAAACAATAAAATCCTAATACTATTAAGATGGTTTATTTTAATCATTTCTTTTGCTTTAGACCCGGCATGACCAGGTGGTTACTGAGCTCGACTCGCAATCTGCGGGTCATGGGTTCAAATCCCCGTCACACCAGACGTGCTTACCCTTTCAGCTGTGGGGCATTATAAAGTGACGGTCAATCCCACTATTTGTT